TAATTATTGCTGTTATCTATGAAAGAAAGGCGGAAAGTGTAGCCTAGTCAAGCGCTTTATAGTGTTTTTTTTTTTCCTTCCCAGATGCCCAATTACAGTCAAAAAATACCTAAACAATGCCAGCAAGACTGCAAGCTGTTATGAAAGGCATAGGAGGCCATTTTTGTTATTATGTGAATGAATACTATTTATTTCAGTTATTTGTCCAATAAATGACAATAACATTTTTAGATTTAAACAGTTTTTTGACACATTCCTAAAATATTTGTGTTTTCTCTTTATTATGGCAGGTGGTCTAATAAATTGTTAAGCACTGTATGTTTTCATAGCATTCAGTTGGCACGTTTGTTTGAAGGACATTGGGCAGAATGTGGAATAGTGTGTTTTTGTCAATAAAATAAAATAAAAAAAGGAAATTGGGCTTTAAAAAAAAAAAAAAATCAGATTAATCGGGAAAATAATAATAATCGGCCAACTAGTCGATTACCAAAATAATCGTTAGTTGCAGCCCTAAATTAATGACAGAATTTTCATTTTTGGGTGTACTATCCCTTTAATCCAGCCATTTCGCGGTTCTTGTCTTTTCGTCCCCAACTGTAAGACCTTTAGAAATTATAATTAAGATGTTTCTTATGCCATTTAATGTATTTAAAGGGTTAGTTCACCCTAAAATGAAAATTAGTCCATAAATTACTCACCCTCAAGTCATCCTAGGTGTATATGACTTTCTTCTTTCAGACGAATCCAGTCAGAGTTATATAAAAAATTGTCTTTGATCTTTCAAGCTGTTTAATGGCACTCAGCAGGTGTTGCAGTGCATCAGTCCAAAAGATGTGAAATAAAAAGTGCTCATCCATAAAAAAAAAGTCTCACACAGCTCCGGGGGGTGAACAAAAGGCCTCCTGTAGCGAATCGATGCGTTTTTGTAAGAAAAATATCCATATTCAAAACATAATAATCACTGTAATCTAGCTTGAGCCAACAGTTGTACACGGAAGCAGTTCAGGGCTGATGACGTATGAGGTCAGCGTTGCGCATGCGCTGGTGAGTCTTGTGAAAACCAACGTTTGTTAACAGGAGCAAAGGAAGCAAAGTTTCCTTACTTTAGCAAAGAAAAACCAGTCTCCTCTTGGCTTATATCAAAATCCTCTGACATTCTTTACAAATCCTCGTTTTGTACTTTTAATTCGTCATTCGTCACTTCTGAGCGGCGCATGCGCAAAGCCGACCTCATACGTCATCCGCCCGGAGCTGCTTCCGTGTACAACACTGAGCGCAAGCTAGATTAAATTGATTATTATGTTTTAAATATGGTTATTTTTCTTACAAAAATGCATAGATTCGCTACAGGAGGACTTTGTTCACCTCCTGGAGCTGTGTGAGACACTTTTTATTAAGAATGGGCGCTTTTTATTTAACTTCTTTTGGACTGATGCATGGCAACACACGCTGAGTGCCATTAAACAGCTTGATAGATCAAAGACAATTTTTAATATAACTCTGACTGGATTCGTCTGAAAGAAGAAAGTCATATACACCTAGGATTGATTTGAGGGTGAGTAATTTATGGGCTAATTTTCATTTTTGGGTGAACTAACCCTTTAAGACTTTTTACGCCTTAAATTTGATACAACTAAATTGAAGAGTTTTTAAGGACCTGCGGTCCTGTGTTTAAGGCGGTAATACATTTTTGTAGCCCAACTGGAAAACACAATAGCCCCGGGATGTCGGGCTAGCAATTTTGCGAGCCCTGGGCTGAGAAGGCGTTGCTGTCCCTATACTAGATTAGAAAACATGTCTCGAGTCGGGATGTTCATTTTAACCTTTTAACCGGTTAACTGCCCGTAAGAATTTTGACCGATTAATACAATCAGTTAAACGGTTTAAAAAGTCATTTAATTATTTATTTTTTCAGTAATTTATCAAAATATTTAAAAAGGTTTGCTGCAGGGTTAAAATACGCTACGCGTATAAAAAATTTGTTTTTTAGTCGCGTATAAGTCGCATTTTATTATTTAATTCAGAAATAGGCCTAATGCCGATGCAAAATGTTTACAAACATTATAATAAACACTGTAAACATAGCTAGGCTATTTTAGTTCCCCTCACTCCACAAAAAAAATCCTTTCAATTAACAGTATTTAGAAAAGAACAAGAATTAAAAATATAAGAAGCTATAGCAATATAAATGACAAGCCAAAATGAATTAATTTAGGTTACAACGAAACTGAAACCAATGTTGGGTCTCTCATTCCACACAAATCAAATGTTTCCGTATTCGTGATGTATTTGAATGGCAAATTATTATTTATTATGTAGCCTACTTCAATCGTGTTCCAATATCCACATAAAACAAAATGTTTTGCATAACATCACGGTGGTGCGGTGATAATAGCCTACTTGACGGCACAGATTTACTACATATTTTTTACTACATAGTTTTTTTTTAAATTTTTTTCCATGTTTGACTGACTGTTATTATGATAATGAACAGGCTGCATTGTAGCAATGCTTAACTGTGTGTGCGCATGCGGCGCCGGCGCAATCACTTGAGTATTTTCCTTTATAACAGTGGAAGCAACTACTCCTTTTAGTCCTAAAGATAATCGGAATTGTAAAAGGTTTGCCTTTATTTGTGTACATTCACAATAAAAACAAATCTTTGTGCTTTTGTCAAATAAGCCTAAAGAAAAATAGGATGCCGCTTTCTGTCGTCTGTTTCCTTTCGCGAAGCACAAAAATGAACTGAAACTCTGCATACTAGGCTAGGCTACTTGTTGCACAGTTTTTCTTTCATTTTCTTAATTTATTATTTAAGTAAAAATATGTTTCTCGTATAGGCCTAGCTTTATTATGTTTTTCTCCGCTGGCAGAAGCGCTGCAGGTACGTGATGTGGTATGAAGACCATGTGAATCCTCATGTTCTGTTGTTTGCTGCTTTTTGCGCATGTAAAATGAATCCCCGGAAAACAAATGTTAGTATTTTTTAACTGGTCACAGACACTTGTCCTTTTTAATTCAATTCTAATTTAAAATAATCTTGTCGGTTAACAATTGGTTAACGAGCGTCGGTTGTCGGTTAGGAAAAATAACCGAAATGAACATCCCTAGTCTCGAGTATTTTAAACTTACCCAGTTTTGCAGTTGAATGTGTGCCTTAGCATGTTTACCTAAAATACTTTGATATACATGATTTATTTTAAGATTGTACAGTATGGCTTTGTTCTGTTGGGACATGGTTTTAATTTTACTTGTGCAGCTCTTAAAGCATCTTGAATTTGATTTAAAAACTCTGCAGATAACACTGTGTTATCCAAAGTGACTTATATTGCATTCAAGGTATACATTTTATTAGTTTGTGCATTCACTGGAAATCAATATTTATTTAACAGATATAATAATCATCTCAACCAATAACTGCTCTGTCGATGCCAACTGAGGTAAATGTTAAATTGCACTTTTGTGTTTCATTGAATTCAATGAAAATTATTATAAAGTTCCTCTATGTGTACAGTGTAGTGCATCACATCCTCAATTTATAGGTCATTTGTACCTCACTGGCATCCTGTAAGTGTGTTTTGTAAATGTATAGCCCATACTAGTTTACCATCTCTTTTGCCAGATCCTTGTGATTCATCATCAGACTCCAATTGGGAGCTGCACTACTTACAACTAGAACTCCCTATTAGAACAACAGACAGGCCCACAGGGCCAAAATCCGACAGATACGGAGGAGTCGTCTCCCTCATTACCTGCTCTGTGTGTGAAAAAATGTTTCTCTCAAGGGAAGGGGATAAAGAGATTTTCCTTTGAAGAACAAAAAAAGAACACTATGGGCTGAAGGAGGAATGTCTTCATTATGCAAACAGGAAAGAACAGAAACAAGAGTTTTGGAGCCTCTGATGGCGTTCAAGAGATGCTGCTTTCGGATGCGAGTACGCAAAGCAAAACTGGGATGCTGCTGCATATTTAAAGACGTGACGCTCTTTGGATCTTCTCTTGTCTATGAGTGTTGCATAACAGAACGACTGGGTTAGAAGCCTGTCTAACCCTTTGTGTAGCGTGCAGAGCGATATTATGAGAGTCCACCGAGATCTTCTTCCATTAGCACCTGCTGCAAATACTTTAATGTGTGTTTCATGCAATGCAAGTGTCCTGCTATGTTTGTGTCTGTGCTGTGTTTGAAACATCTTGTGCTGGATCTAGGGCTGAACGATTTTGGAAAACAACATAAAGCACTGACAAATAAGCCTGGTGTAAACATTAATATGAAAGTCAGTAACAAATCACACAAACTAAAGTAGATTGCAGAAATATAAAAACAAATCTGTTGCTTTACTACACTACTTTAGGTAATTCAAAGTCACTGTAATAAACATATGTAAACATGTGGACTGCACTTTTTAAACACTGTCCGTTTAAACTTTTTTTTGGTCGCGCCCCTCTTTAAACCTATAAAAAAATCTGACGCTGGATGACGCGACGTGACATGACAAAACTCGACATTAAACTGATGCCTTGTTCTATTTATGACGTACTGACACAAAGTTAAAATGATTTGCCATGGTCGCTTTGTCATGTCCAGTGTAGAGCTGTTGCGGCGCGACGCGACGTGTAGCGTCCGGTAAAGTCCGCAAACCGCAGACTTGGCAACACTGTAGCGTACCAACTTGATGCTTCCTCTGAAGACTGCTTAGATGTGTTCGACTTGAAGTAGCGCTGCTTATACGGCGTGTGCCATCAAAGTGCTGTGAGAGCTATAAGAGAGTGGACGTCTCCTTATGCTTTTTCTCGCCGTACTTTGATGTCATACACCGATCGATCTTCAAGTCGAACACACCTCTTTACTCTCGCGTGTCACGTGACCGAGTGTAATCACAGCCTATATCGCGATATCGTAAATGCAATTAATCGTTCAGCCCTAGCGGGATCTTTGAACCATTCGAGATGTGAATCAGTGATGCGTGTTGCTGTAACGTGTACCCCATGTGTATTTTCAGACTTGATCTACTGCACCAATGAGATGAATGTGAACGTGCCCCAGCTGGCCGACACTCTGTTTGAAAGAACCACCAACAGCAGCTGGGTTGTGGTCTTCAAAGCGCTCATCACCACACACCACATAATGATGTATGGAAATGAGGTGAGAGATTCTGCCCTGGTGCTTCATACTTTTTTTTCTTTTAACGTGGCCAATATGACACCTTTCTGTGCTGTTACCATTGAAGATCCAGCTCGGTCAAATTGACCCTACATGACAAATCACACCTCAGCAGTCACAATTTTCCTGTTTGTGACCGAGCATGTTTGAGACATGGTGACAGTAAAAACATTTTACTTTGCCGTCCTGTAAATCTGGTTTTAAGCTGCAGCAAATCGGTTGTTAAAAAAAAAAAAGTATTAAATGAGTCAAAGTGACCCACAACAACATGAAAGGACTGAACGAGTGGCACTCCTAAGCCCAGCTACATGCATAAATCCTCATCCAGGCATGTTCATCATGTGTACATTAGAATTAAATTTTCTTATTTCAAAACAAGTGACCCTTTGAGACCTCAATTGTCAATATTAATATTTTAAATATTTTAATATTTTACACTACCACTCAAAAGTGTGGAGTGTGGATTTTTTAACGTTTTTGAAAAAAAAGTCTCTCTTGCTCACTAAGGCTACTTTATCTTAAAATATAGTAATATAAAAATACAGCAAAACAGTAATATTGTGATTTTAATATTATAGTTTAACTGTTCTGTTTGTATTAGGGATGCACTGAATTTTCGGCCGCCAAAAATGATCAGCCGCAAATGGCATTTTCGGCTTTCACTCTCCCTCTAGCCGCCGTCACTGCACGGTGTGACTCCGCTTAATATTCCGCTCTATGAATGTGCATTCTGCTTATGTACAATCTCTGGTACCGCTCATGCTCACCGGAAAAGCAAAGTCCGCTAAAAAAAACACGCCGACAGGAAATTTCTATGTAGTATACTTGTTCCTGTTTGCAGTAGCTCTACTGTGCTATAACATGGCAGAGCTGGTAAAATGATGCTACCCTCCCGTTCACTGCTCTGCTCACATGCTCTGATAATAATAGCTTTGTAGGACTATACATTATTTGGGTAATTATTAAAAAAAAAAATTATTTGATTCTGTTGCACAGAACTGAATAAAAATAATACATTGATATTAATATATTTTCTGTCCAATTTTATTGTTACTTTCAATAAAAAGTGTAGTTATTTTATTGGCTTGTGTTTTTTCAATTCTGTGTCATTAAAATAGAGTTAAATTAAAAAGTTTTATAAAATTACTTTTTATTTAACAAAATTATAAATAATTATTACAGAGCATTTACGGTTTCGGTTTTCAGCCAAGTGCATCCAGAAGTTTCTGTTTCGTGTTTCAGCTCAGAATTTTCATTTCGGTGCATCCCTAATTTGTATGTATGTTTCTATTTGTATGTAACTTGTATGTATTTTAAAATTTAATTCATTACCGTGATGGCATTTTTTGCAGGCATTCGAAATCTGAAATCATTCTAATATGCTGATTTGTTGCTCAAAAAAAAAAAAACATTTCTTATTATCAGTGTTGCCGTGATGTGTTCTTTGAGGATTGTTTTCAGGATTCTTTGAGGAATAAAAAGTTTAGCCTTTACTTGAAATGGAAGTCTCTTGTAACATTATGTCACTACACACTGTCATTTATCATTTTAATGCATCCTTACTGAATGGAAGTATTAATTTCTTTCAAAAAATTTTAATGATGCAATATATTTAATATTTTTTATATATATTTTTGCACATTTAAAGGTAGGGTAGGCAATTTCGGAAAGTCTAGCATTAGCGAGTTAGCTTTGAAAGCAAGATCCCCACCCTCCCTGCGTAATCACTTTGCAAAGCCACGCCTCCCCCAAAACACACAAACGTGCTCAGACAGACCATAGACTAACCTGCGACACGATGAAAGATGGTGTTGGTGGAGGGTTGAATGCAACGCTGTCAGATTATCTCGTGTCTCATTCACAGATGAGAAAGCATTACAGTACCGCCTTTCGTAATGTTCGGACTGAACATTTTCATTGGATGAACATTTTATGGCCCTACGCCTTCCACAGATGATATAAACACACATAAATAAATTTAGACTGCTTAACTTGGCGATAGCTATCGGGATATATAGAGACTTTCAACCAGCATAACAAAAAATGTTTTTGAACCAAATCACCTACTCTGCCTTTAAATCAGATGCAGATCCAATTTCTGATTTGAGCCACATTTAACCGTGATGTTAGTGTGTCCTGTGTGTGTACATATAAAACTTAATATATTTGATTTCATTAGTTTTTGTATTACATCGTCATGGGGGACTGGTAGACAATATGTTAAACTCCTGTTGGATGTTTCTGTAGATGAGCATTTTGAAACTGAAATGAAAAACACTTGCAGCCATGTGCTGTTAGTACAATACAATGGTTGAGTTTGAAAGTGTGCACAGTTTAAATGCAACAACAAGAGTTAGATACTTATATACAGGCACAAACGCGTAGTCCACTAATGATAAACAGTGGGTAGGTGAGAACATGACACACACATACACATTAATGATATATACAGTTAGGATGTGACCTAGATGTGCACGTGGCCAGCTTAATGCATTGCTACAACATGAGCACCTTGCTACAGTATCTAAATGAGGACATACCAAATACTTGTTCTCTTTTTATGTAAAGCTAATTGTAACTATTTTACACACTACTTTGAAACAGAAACTTTTTTTTAGAATTAAAACACATTTATGGATACTTTTCACATTACATTTGAGCATAATTCAAAAGGACATTTTGTCAGTTTCAGATAACTTGTGGGCTTCAGTTAAACGGCGGTTAATTTAGCTCTCTAAGAGATTGCGTAAGTTCAGTGAAGGATTCATCTGCTTTAGATCAATAACTCATGAGTCATTTGCATGATACGTTAAAATAATTGCCTTAGGGTCATTTCTTTGTGAACTGGACTACACCAGTCACACTGTATGTTTGTTTTTAAGTGCAGCCAGTGAAGAAAACACGTCTATTGTATCGTACCATTGTTCTTTTACAGTACAACGTCCTTTTTATCTCATCACATTCAATTTAGACTGCAAGCTCACAACTCGGGTAAAATATAATTACATTTTCTGTGGCGCTGTAGATTCTGCAGGAAACAGTAGCATACGCACGCATAAAAACAATGGCAGCGCTAGTGACTCTCACATGTGTCCTTGATCATTCACTTGGGCTATAAAATAAAAAGTCCTTCACTTTAGGTCCTCAGTGTCAGCGATAGAAAGCGCGCAAGGACTGTCCTCCAGCACACCCTGTTCTGCGGCATGGTGGGGCACTAATCAGCCAGGGGTGGTTTTTGTTATCAGAGCTGAACGTCTGGTCCAGGTCGAGTCTGGTCTTAATCCTTTACCCCGTTATGGCTTGAAAAACACACGTTTGGTTATCGCTGTCCGTTGAGGAGCAGAAACGTTTGGAGGACATTTGTCTTGTCAGCAGTAGCCCTGTAAGAGGGCACAGGAAGGGCCAGAGATAAGGTGTTGTTGATAAGGGCATTTCCACATGCGTTTGTGCAAATAGGAGAGAAAAAGGACGATGTCACTCACTGATGGCCTAGATGCAGAACGCACAATTTGCTGTAGTGACGTCACTGGAAGCGTATGTTGTGTAGGGTAGAGATAGAGAGTGAAGGGGGGGGGGGGTTTTAAGAAAAATCTGGGTT